AGCAGGCACAGCCTACACAGTCATACGAAGGAATTCGAAAGGACAAAACGGGCTGAAAGGATTATGGTCCCACGAAAATATCACCGTAACTCGACGTGATTGGGAAACTGAAGTAGTGCTTACTCCTATAGGATACCACACATTTTATTAGGTTGACTCAAGCTTGTGCAGTCTGAGGGAGAAGAGGACAAATGACAGTCTTGGAACTTTCAGCTGGTAGTTTCCTAAAGCCTTTCAAAATGGCAATCCACATGTGGACTCGATATAGCGCCGAATATCCTTCAATCCTGGCGGTCACATTACCTGTCACCTGAATCCTTGAATGATTTCATGAAGATCCGTTTACTAATTCCATCATATGTGGAAAGCGGTGGAGATGAAATCTCTTCGGCATACTGGAAGAAGTGTGAAATATCTGGGTTCTACGTTGACAGCAAGATATTCACGCGGTAGTATTCTTGACCAAAATGAGGCGGACTTGCACGTGAACAAAGCCAACACCCAGTGCATCAAGCATGCGATATGATGTTCGCGCGGAGTTTGGATCTATCGAGGAACGTGGAATCCGTCAGTTGACACATTGCTCTGGAACTCCCAAGCAGGAGCAACATGATGGTTTGCACTGAACCTACAGAGAGGATGTGCGACGAGCAGTGAACTCTGCATAATATTGTTTTCAATCGCCAATGGGAACAAGTGGGTTGAATAGATCAGAAATGGTAAGTAAGGTCTCGTCAGAGTTGGAGTTGTGCTGGCAAATCCAGCCCTTAGTTTTGTATTTCGCAACCAGGCAGTCACTGAGAAGTCAACCCACTACTGGCATGCGAATCGCTAATAGGATCTGTATATTCAATTCAAACTTTTGTAACATTTCACTAACTTCTTCTTCTGGCCAGCTGAGTCGTGGCACTATTTCTTCCGTTGGTTCATCCGCAGTGTGGTCGATCTTCGTCCGGTGTCGTTTGTCTTCTCTGAAGGCTTTCTCACTCAAGTACTTAGAGTATCCAACACGATGGAATAAGTTCCATCAGTCTCCCAAATCACTCAGCTATCACGTGATTACGACAGGGATGCAGGATCCCGGCACCACTGACTCGTAGGTAGGAAGTCTCAAACACGACTGTCTCACCATACGGGAATATTGCTGGTCTGGCGAAGTTTCCTATGTGCGGTAGTATTGATCGATGAAATACAGCACGTACTTTATATATATTGTCATAATATTGATGTACAAGTGATTAGAACTGAGTAGCAGTCGGAGTTCGACGAAGACAAACAGGTGACCATCGAAGACACTTCCTGCCGTAATGCTGCAATTCATCATGAAAAGCCGAAACCAATGGAGGGTGCCTCGGAAAGCTCTAAACATTTGCTGCAGGTGTAGCGTGCACCGCCTTTCTTGGGACTGGCTCATCAGTTTCGAATTTCCATGGGTGTCCACCTCCGAATGTGCAATCTGGCGAGGCCGTTTTGGTTTCAGTGAACAATTCAGAGGCTAGAATTGAGTGGATGACCGAAATGGCAAGATCCTGTATGTTTATCTTGGAACTGAGAAAGCGATTCTCGGACAGTCTACTATACTACACAATAACCGTACCAGTAGTCTTGGTAAGCGTGGGTTTCCAGTCCACTACTTTCGTTCAAGCTTCGGTCATATGATACGTGCCACCAAAATCCGTTTCCACGTCAACTGTTTGACAGAAGGCCCACAGAATTACCGTAGTAATCCGTAATAAAAAATTGCCCCTCTAACCCAAAGGCCATGCCGATTGTACATGAGGAAGTCACATTTATTCCTCAAAAGTACCTCCGTAAAATCCTTGAACGAATCCACAGAGATCCTGAGGTGCCTGAATTGTAATTGAATGATAGCTTGATGCGAATTAGAGATGTCAATTTAAGCCATGCAATCTTGCATGAACAAGAGACTTTGTGAACATCCCGGGACATGTTAGCTCGACATCTGCATGCCATTAAAATTTCCCGTCAGATCTTACTAGGAATTTTAAAAAAAATTCTATTTAAAAATGCAGTAGTATCCCAAGGTAAGTATGCCACGATAAGCGGGAGGGATCGCTTTATGTGTATTCTAGAATTCCAAGTACCTATCATTTCTGCTGGATCCCACAGGATTGAACCTATGCGGAACAGAGGATCAGAAAACACATCAATCACGAATATGGCCGTAGTAGTCATGAGAACGAAGAATGTAGCGAACAAAGCTTGAAACCAGTCATGTCATAGACAAGGAGCAAGCCTTCATCATCACATACCCGGTACCTCTGAACCGATCACGACTGGTACGATCCAGACTACTATCGATCGCAGAGGCGATTGGAATCCGACTGCTGGATCCGCAACTTTCCATCCTAAAGAAACTTGTGCGACCTCTGAACTTGAACAGGCCTCCGGTCCCACAATTCTACCTGATTCCGTGACCCATTGACCTGAGGCCTGTTCAAGTTCAGAGGTCGCACAAGTTTCTTTAGGATGGAAAGTTGCGGATCCAGCAGTCGGATTCCAATCGCCTCTGCGATCGATAGTAGTCTGGATCGTACCAGTCGTGATCGGTTCAGAGGTACCGGGTATGTGATGATGAAGGCTTGCTCCTTGTCTATGACATGACTGGTTTCGGCCAAATGTGCTGCAATCTCGCTTGAGCCTGGTTTCTTCCCACTACCGCTCCGAGATACGGGATTGTGTTCTCGCATTCTGTCCGACAAATGCCGACAATCTAGATTCTCATGGAAGGGAACCCGGCACAACTGGCAAAATACGATTAGAAAATCGTTCTGAACGAGGCCCAAATGACACCTATAATTTCATACCTCCCGTTCGTTTATACATCGCATGAGAACTAAGTAGAACAATGAGAACAACGACATCCAGATTGTCAACCTAAATACAATTGTTGCCCGTTGTTCTCAGCGACGACCGGGCGCAAGAAGCAGATCTTGGACCGATTTCAGTGGAAGAATGCGCTGAAGTTCGGTGATTAGACCACCTCGAAAGGTCCACGGCTCCTGATCACCAGAGGCGACCATATCTCGGCAACCGGTAGAGAACCATGTGAGCAGGCACCGTAAATGATGGCACATTTTTCGTGTTGCGATGACACCGGTTTCCAACCACTGCCGAGAACAATGTACATTTCGGTTGTGTAAGGTGCCAATTAGTAGGCCATACTCCCAGATGGAAGACGCTGGATTCGATCCCGAAGGGATGAGACGGGTGAGACAAAGTCGACGAATTCCGAGGGCTTTTCAGTCCATTCAACCCTCTCTGGATCGGTAATCTTGAGTCCGTAGGCATGCGAATGTTCTCTTAGCTAGTGACCCGATTCCAAAAGAAGCATTCCAGCCGGACTTCATGAGAACAGGACGGAACCTAATACCGTGTATCTCATCAGCTTTTCGTGAGTTTGAATAAATGCCGGCGAAGACAGACAACCACGCTTAGACCCGTCAAATCACTATAAACACCGAAGGTCATCAGACGCGAGATGAAGTTGGATAAAAAGGCCAAGCCTGTGTACATCATTCCGTCCTGGTCACACTAGGATAATACCAAAGCGGCCGAAAATTTCGGTTGGTTTTCTAGTTAGGTTTGTAGAGCAGAACTCCCACCTCTCAAGCGAACGATTCTGACGAAAATGTCGGCTCTGGATTCTACGCTCTGTCGTGATTCTACGCTTGCGTCATAAAAGTGGACTAGTTTGACCAACCCAACTACTTCATCTATTTGTCCGTACCAGAAAAATCAATCGAACCATGCTTTCTCAGCCATTCGTTATTGACCGAGGTCAGAGTGGCTGGGATAAACCAAGTTTTCCTCCAGGAATTTAGTAAAGCCTGACAGTTTTGTCATGATCTAATGCGCGTGATGTGGCAAACACTCAAGGCGCACACTGCCGCTGTCTGGATAAGCCATTTGTCGGTATGGCTTCATTGCTTGGTGTATGCGTACCATTAAGTTTGGTGAGAGCCAGGTTGCTGAGAGCCGTAGCTAGAAGACCAACGTTGTTGTGAGTTCACTTGTGGAGGGCTATAAACTTCAGTACCATACAAATGACAGCTCTAAAGTTGATTGTTAGGCCGGAACAGAAGTGTACAGTTTGGTCGTCACGGTTTCGTGGGTAGCCATGGCAACTACGAAAGAAGTTGCCCATACGTAACGACTGGGCATGGAACTAATGTGGCCATTTTGGGAGCATTTGTTTCAACCATCGGCTGGGATTCGATACCTCCACATCCAGTAACTATGGTGAAGGCAGTTGCCGTCACACTCGACACCAAGCGAGATTAACAGTCTAAGGCAGCGGTGCCGTGCAAGTTCTCACGCCTTTTTAGCAACATTCAGCAGGATCGTTTGTGTGTCGTTCGAGGGCATAACACTGGTGATCCATTGATCAGCGGATACATGATTCGGTCATATGACCTGTCCGCTATTGTACTGGCGCACATATTTAGTGAGTCCCTTTGCTGCCTCTCTTGGAACATCACTTGAATCATCGTCATCGTCATCATCATCATCATCATCATCGTCGACAGCATGACATCAGTGTTCAACATCAATGCTTCACTGCCGTACAACCATGATTTATTTGAAAGCTTTATTGTAAAGAACAGAGTAAAGGTGGACGGGGAAGGGACTTGGTGCTATCTTACCACGATCATTCCGAGGTGCCTACACCTCCAGACACTCACTCAGGCGATCTGGATAGTTTGATTCACTCCGCAGTACCTTATCAGAGAGCAGGTTAAATTCTGTTTGCTGGAGAGATGTCCATTTTCAAATTGTGTGAACGTTGCCGCATCAGCGTTTCCAGGGTCAGACAACCGTACCATGAAACAGAACAGTGATTCGAGTTGGGCTACCTCAATTAAACTGATGGGGAACAGGATGTAAAATGTTTAACTGGAAGAATCATTTCTCTCCAGCGAAGGAACTTTGGACCTGATGAGCTCTGTGGGAAGGAGGCCTTACACATTTTATTTAGCATGGTTGCCTCACTTAGCCTACATGAAGCAGGCAGTTGTATGAAGGTCAGTCTTTAATAAGTTCGTGAGAAAGACAAATTTCGCATTAAGGGAGATTTCTGGATCTCTACATGGGCCTTCTTTCAAATTTGCGCTAGAGAAAGTCTGAATGGTCTAAAAACCCTTTCTGGTTACATCCACAAGTGACCGATTTCGTTCAGCCTGCATGCATCCGTTATTCAGCATAACTCTTGAACTTCTAAGTAATTGATGGCCTAATCTTGTATTTTTACAAGCGACCAATCATTGGATGGGCACAAATCGTGCTTCGGATTGACCAACTCGTTTCAGTTCAAGTGTCATGTGATATTTTGCCGTTTGAGGAGAATTGTAATACGGTCGCTGCAACGTTCAGAATGAGAGTATCCGTCTTCCGGCAACCTGCTGCATTCGCAACTTTCGCAATACATGCCAACAATCTGAAGTCAAACTTGGCCACCTTTTCCAATTTGAGAATTCACTAGGGGCATGTCGTATACTGTAGTCCTGGTAATACTGCCTCCCATCTGTATCCACTGTCCGAAACGAGACCAACTGTCGCAATCGCCTGCCATTCTGATTGGTTATTCTTTGTTGAGGACATTTTTCGAAAAGATTACAACCTGCGTGACAAATAACAGAGTTTAAATTTAGAACTGAACACAGTGAGATCCAAGTGATTTGACAACTGTGCATGTCGGCTTCATCATGTGAACACTACTCATGATTGCGAATAACATGCATTCGAGAAATTACTGAAAGGACACGATGTGTGTCACTTCAACATCAGACCAACCGAAATTCTCATTCAAACCGAGTGCGAAATCAGTTAAAACGCGGAAATACCAGAAAAAAAACCTGGTTTAAATGGCGTCGATTAATTCACTTCCATCTTCAGCGGTTGCATCGATCTTCAGCAACCATTTCTGTCGGCTGAAGTGAATTAGTTTAAACTATAAATTTCGGTCTAATAACTCTTCATCAAAAGGTGATAATTCCCGGTCATGTGATAAGTGTATAATATTCGTGTATTTAGTTATCTGAGGTGGATTAAAGATGAATCAATATTTTAACCAGGTATTCAAGGGGGTGAGGATACCTCGGATGGGAGAATGATCCTGCGGACACCTGCCTCCCAAGAGTAGTTCTTCAGTGCGTTCCTCTTCGATAGTCTACACAACGCAGACGTGCACACTGTGGTCTGGTACGTCACTTCGGACCCACTTTGCTTTCGGATAACAAGCCCGGCACACATCCTGAAAACCACGAAGGCTGACCGATAGGTTCTATCACACAGGTCACTTCTGGAGAGAAACTTGCCAGAACAGCTTGTGAGAGAGTCGTTTTTGGGAATTCGTTCCCATGAGTCAGTGGTACCGGGATCTTGCATTTCTGTTGTAACCACGTGATAGCTGAGTGATTTGGGAGATTTGGTTGTTGGTCTGTTCGCCGAACTTTGCAGTTGGGTTGCAGACATTTCATCACCAATCGATGTGACATCGTCAACCCCTCTCCTGCCTCAGACTGAACAGTCTCGAGTCAACGTAACTAAATGCGAGATATCTTAAGCACTACTTCAGTCCCCGAAACACGTCGAGTTACAGTGATATTTTCGCGGGACCATAATCTTTCAACGCGTCTTGTCTGTTCAAATTCCTTCGTAGGACTGTGTAGGCTGTGTGTCGGCTGACAATTGATGTGTGATTTGAGAATATTGCTGATCAGATTGTCCCTCCGCAACCATGTGGTCATTTTCCTGGAAACAACGCCCTGTTATCGAGAAATACACTAATTTGCAAATCAAACTTGTGAGTAGTTTCCTTTATGAAAAACGGTCTGCTATGTTTTCATTTATTTTCTTTAGGTATTTGGCCGCTTTCCTACATTGTGTTTTCGTGTCGATATTGATGTGTCTTGTGCTGACTTCTTCCTTGCTCTCATGTGAAATGGGAGAGTTATGCGTGAGAGCTGATTTACATGTTTGCGCCCGACGGGCTCCATCCAAGGATCCTGAAGAAAGCGTCGTCTACACTGGCAAGTCATTTATAACTGGTGGTTCGTCAGTCACTTGACGAAGGCCGCCTTCCTTCTGCTTGGAAGGAAGCGATTGTCACGCCTATCTACAAAGCCGGCTTTACATGTTTGCGAATCACATATCCGTGTTCTATTATTTACGATTCCAAGCATTTCAGTATTCACTAAATCAGTCATGTTCCCCTCCAGCTCAGCCGTGCATTTGTCACTTCCATGGACACGAGGCCCAATCCATGTTTTAATTGGTTATCCCGTCGATCAATCAATATTTCACACAGCAGTGATTGGTCGGTGGGATGTCGTGTGATGACTGGCTGATCGACGTGCGGCGAGTAATCTTGAGCTTATACATGTACATGAAATGGTATCGGAATTAATGGGTAATATTTCTTTCAGAACGAAATGGCACCATCCGAGGGCTGCCTAGCTCCTGATGCTTCAAACACGTGGTCTACTTTAGTCACCACTTTCAAAATGAAAACGACGTCAAAATGTTTTGAATGCTGCAGTAAAACGTCACCTCCTTGATTATGATTTAGTGATGTCTTATTTCGTTTGTTTATCCGGAGAAGTTTACACGTCACCAATTTGGCTGGATGTGATTTCGTGTTGTCTGAGGGTTCTAAATTGTGTCTTGGTGCTCTGAAATGGGTGTCAGCCAATAAGCGACAACTAAATCGTAGCGAAAGAAAACTGACGCCGATACGAAGGCCGATATGGAGGAAAACATTTCATACTCGCGAACTGGCTGTCACGTCAGTCAGACGTTTACTTGTCTTCAGTTGATGCTAAACCTGTTAAGTCTACCTATTCATCCATTGCATTTCAGCCGGTGTAAATTCAGCAGCTTTGATATAATCAAGAGCCACGCATAATCAAGTTTTCGAGAACGTCGGCATGAAGGTCGGGATTTCACGGCTCCTTGCAGCAAGTCGCGAAATATGTTCATACACATAAATCAGGACGAATTTGCGGAACGTTTTCGAATCGGCCCTACATATCACAAATTGGCCGGCATATTGAAGTTGGCCAAAACTAATTATCCGGTGCTCTTGACGGGTAATATAATGACAGGGGAGCTTCCTCCAAACAATATCTTTTTGGGAAATCAGAACAAACACTTCAAAACGTTCGCACCTGGTGCACTCGCAGAACACGATCAGAACTTTGGACAACCGGAACAGTTTGTACTGCAAAACGGCGTAATTCTGTCAATGGATTGGACATCACTGTGGTATGATTGCAGTATTTTTAACTTTCATTTTCTCTCGTTTACCGATACATCAGCTTAAAACACCTACAGCGCCTTTCACAGTTCTTTCATTTTTCCATATCACCACTGTGCGTTGGTTGTTGCCGGCGTAGAACACACAAAAACAGACCAACTTGAAGCTCACCCTACTGCTCCCCGATAGTGATAAAGCGATGAGACAAATCAGAATGGACCATTTTACGTCACGTCGTGACAGAGGCTCAACTCTGCGTTGGAATGTTGAATTGCAAGCCTTATCTCCACCTGAGATTGTGAAGCAACAACGCTGCACATACTTTCGCTTGTAATCTCTTGATTCATCAATGTGTCCCCTGTCTCACTCCCTTGATGTGACCAAGGCTTCACAGTAATACACTACACGTTTACATCTCCGCAATACCTTACTAAGCCCTTGAATAGAGCTTTGTCGCAAACACAGGGTTTGTTGCATTCCGCCAGTATTCTATTTTAAGAGCATGGGATGAGGAATCACCCTGATCCTGGACACAACCATAAGCGGCCCAATGCGTGCATATACTGCCCGTCGTTTTGTGTCGTACACCCCCAGATAATTCAAACTATTCTTGAGTATACCAAGTGATGGTCTTGATTCATTGTGGCGGACGGGTGTTTTGGAACTTCTTCTGCATTAGTTTGGTTCCAATCAGTAAATCGGCGGATTAACCAATGTGTTGTACGGTTGGAGCTCGGGAAGCCATGCGGTTGAAGCGTGAGTGTACTGACCGGATTATCCGTGGTTTGAACGGAAACTCTGCCTTTAGACTAGCCCTGTCTAGGCGCAGCAGGCCTGATAGAATCCATATCTTCTTGCCTCCCTATGGTAGCACGTGAGCTAGGCATCAATGGACGGTTATTTTCGATCCACTAAGATCCTGATTTTGTTATAAACGCTGATTAGTTAAGTCGCGCGATGATTTCAGGATCTTAGGTTTAAATGCAAACTGGGAACTTTTGATGGTTCTACCTCACATTGAACAACTTCCTTGCATTTCTTTTTAATCCATATACATCTATGAAGATGTGTCGTACTGAATGTCTACTATTGCTTTTAAAACAAAATTGCGCCGTCTGAGTGCCTTTTATCTCCTGATGTTTCAAACACCTCGCTCAGTTCAGTCACTTATTTCAAAATGTAACAATCTGAAGTTCTGTAGTGTTTTTAGCGTTGATTTACTGTTCTCAGATCTCCAAGAAGTACTCAATCGTGAAGCCCTTGATATTCAACCGCCTGACTTGATTTTTGCGCCTGGATTCAGGCTACTTACTACTATGCTGGTTGGCCGTTTCAGCCTTCATTCACCAATTTCTTCAGTTATTTGTGTTTAGTATGCACTTTTAGTGTCTGTGAAGCAGCTGTTGAATACTATGCGGCATAGGTTAATTCGAACAAGGAATGCGACCTCACAGCAAACTCATAAACCATCGTAAGCGGTTTCATCAAGAACATACCAAAGCTTAGTTTTGCAATGAGTTCCTTGATTTTTTAAGGGGAGATGGGAGTACGGACTGTGATTTAGGAACTTCTGACGGTTAAAACTCATATTCAGGGAAAAACGATGAAAAAATCATTCTTTCGGTGCCTGACTGCTTTACCACCAAAAGGCGGTGCGAGTGGTGGGATACCGCCAGGTTGTCCAAGCCTAGACAGGGGAAGTCGAGAGGCAGAGGTCGGGTTCGAACCGCGGACGTTCCGGTCAGTAAATTCGCGCTCTAGTCACATCAGCCATCTCGAGCATCGGAAAAATGATGCTCGTTCTTCGAACGCATGGTACAAAGTCAGTTAGATCCATTTAATTTGGAAACGGTTGTTGGCAAAATAGAAAGACATTGATGACCCTCAGTACGATTCTAATCTTACGATGGAAACGGTTTGGTAAGTGTATTCTCACAAGGCGCCGCGAAGGTCGGACAATGACAAACAATATGGATGTTCAGCAGTTCTTTTCTCCGAGAGGAACATTCCTTAGTTTGGTAAATTTCATCCGAGTGTCCCTTATTTTTTGGGCTACTTGGTTGTGTGATCTGAATACCGCGCGCGTTGTGCCGTTTCGCGTCATTTGTCAGTTCTTGCATAAAGCAATAAAACCTAGTTTGTGGCCTGCTCAAAAAATCAGCTTTTAGAGCCTGATCCGACTGTACAGAATAAGCGATGCAGTCCATATATAAACTCGACATCATTGACCGTTTTTAGCCGGGACGATTGGAAACCGATATAGTGGAATATAAAATAAGGCATTTGACTTAAAGGAAACTGCTCACAGGGTTGCTGGAAACTCTTCGACAGCCCACGACCGGTTTCACCCTTCTTGGGACCCATCAGGTAAGCGCAGTCCCCGAGTTTCCGTCAACNGTTTTCTTCCTTCATGGAGCACATTGCGTAGGCGTAGTCCCCGAATTTTTGTCAACCATATGCTCTACTTGAATCCAAATTGGACCGTTTTCGAGATGATCATCATAAAGTTGACGGAAACTCGGGGACTGCGCGTACCTGATGAGCCCCAAGAGCGACAAAACCGGTTGTGGGCTGCCGAAGAGTCTTCAGCAACCGTGTGAGTAGTTTCCTTTATGAAAATATACTTCGATATCTCGAATATCGTGCCAACTGAATCATGAGGTGGCCCGTGTGCAGAACATTTAGTTGTAGGATATGATAAACGAGAGATTCAGTTGAGACTCTCGTGTAAACCAAATTGATTTGCAATTGAGTGTCTTTCTCGAAGGCATTTGACTCTTTCCAAGACTGTTTTAGCAGATCAAACCCTACTATTTCTGCCGTCTTGTCTCTTGTGGATTCCATATTTTTTGCGTCACAGGCATGGCGCCTGACAATAGTTGAGTTGTGTTCAGTCATTTTTCCTGTGCTCAGCTTATTTTCATTCGTGAAAGACTAAATTTGAATGAACCTCAGAGATTGATATGTAACATGCACTACTTGGAATTCATTCGACTGCATGGACAAGACTTCTTGGAAGAAATCGGTACAGACTGTCGTCTACCCCCTCAACAAGTTTTCCAGACCCAGATGTTTTTCAGGTGCAACAACGGCGCCAAGAAGACAATCTTTTCACAAAAATCTACCTGGTGCCTTGCAGTCTACTCCGATTAGCCTTCTCAGCGCCAAAGGGGATGTATAACCTCAACAGATAAGTGATTAGCATTCAAGCGGGACGGACTCGAAGACTAGGGACAATAGAAAACGCTTTTTGTATTAGGTTAACGTCATTTAATAGCAAAGAAACGATTTTTGTGAGAAAAATCATCAAGAACCTTGCTGTAGGTCAAATTTCACCAATTCCCAGGTTTACCAGTCGTCAGAAGTGATCCTCATTGTGATAACGCTTGATGGAATGGAGAAGGCAATGCGGCTAGTCTCCTCTTCCCGTTCAGCACCACCGTGGAATTGCTTGGTGTCTGACACCTGTCGTTTCCTTCAAATGGTGTGCAACATACCTACCGTTCTACTGCCCTTATCACAACGTGAAGCTCAGTGGATTTCACTTATTAGTATCACCCTTCTGCTGTTATTTTCAGTCGTATATATTTGCTTCTTGCTTACAGTTCAGGTTGTCTGTTGACTACAACTCCGGATCTGTGAACTACTCACTTCAATAATTTATTAGTTCACTCGTTTGTTGCATGTGTGGAACGGACTTCCTGCTTTGAGTCCGGGACCGAACTGGAAAGACCTGTTGACATAGGCTTAGTGGCCGTGTGTTTGTGGCGAGGCACTACACACACACACACACGGTAAAACGGCACCAACTGGAAACGACGCTCCGGACTTTATGCAAAATGGAATTCACACTAGGTCGTCTTTATTCACAGGCGTTAGGAACAATTGTGCTCTCGGTTGGAGTGGCACATGACATCCGAACGACGGTCCGAAATACCAGTACCATGTTACCGTGGGAAACTAAGATTACCGGTCACTTCAGGGCTAACACACCGTTTAGTATCGCTTGCTGGTGTACGTAATACAATATATTACGAGAGTGTATTGTGCCCAAATTATGAAACTAAGCCATCCATAGACGGACCGTGAACTTCAAGTACTTTCAGCGAAGAAAAAAGCCATGAGATGAAACGATAAATAGCAGTGTAGACTGTCTACTGATTGGCGGAAAGCAAGTATGACACCTAGTTTTCCAGTAAATCGTTTAAACCAAAAGGTTCAAGTGGAACATAAGGTTGACGGTAACTCGGGGACTGTGCCTAACTGATGAGCCCCAAGAAGGGCGAAACCGGTCGTAAGCTGTCGTAGAGTTTTCAGCAACCTTGTGAGTAGTTTCCTTCACAAAAGGTGAGAACTTAAAGAGTGTCTCACATGGAACATTTTCGTCCTACCATCGCTGACGAAAAACTCAATCAGATGACTCCCACACTCAACCTCGCATGCTTTGCCCACGAACCAAGACTTCAAGATCATTCTTAGTTATGTAATGGCGTCTGAAATCTACTGGAGATCAAGGTTCTTCTTCGGACGTAGAGCACACAGTTTGTGCATATTAAACGATCCTGGTTTGGTTCGGCTCAGATACGATTCTGCTTATAAAGTTTCCACTGCTCCTTGTTTCGAACAATTTTGATTCATCAGGTTGAAGTAATATCTATCCAACTTTCATCAATTTCACTGCGTATTTGAGCACATTGTTGAAGATATGTGCACAAAACCACCGGGGCAAAGTAGCTCGAATTTGCGTAGACCACCCAATCTAAAGAAACCAGATAAACTGTTGGGAGGCAGTTGAGTCTCTGCAAGAAAAAAAATTATGCGCAGATGGGTCTAAATGGTGACTGGCGACTAATCTGATTTCAGTTATAACAACAGGTTTACGGGAACCCGCAAACTGCGTCCGTGTGACGAAAGAAAATCGATCGATGGCTGAAGCAAATTTTCCAGCAACCTTATGAGTAGTATGTTTCTTCTACACTCACTTTCGTTATTCGCATCATAGGTGATGAGGGTGATATCACCAAGCGAAGTCTCTCTTTAAGTTCTGCGTCACGAGGACTTCCGGAAGCATAGAAAATTACCTCAAAAGTGACAGTCCTGCTTAATCTGTGCAGCGTAATTCGTCAGCAATCTTCATTTCCGTAAATACCGAGCCGCTAAAATGACCATTTTCGATTGACAGGAGATAAATACAAACTTATCGCCTCAAAGAGACAAAGTCTTACGACAAATCGCTTATTGTTTGCCTAAATAAGTGATCTTTCGGGAGTAAGAGGTTTTATTAAAGTGATCGCTTCTGGTACTTTACTCCTCTAGAAGAGCTTGCTCACTCGCCCAAAAGCTAACATAAACCAACAACCAATGGTGTCACTGGTGACCGATCAAATTCGTAGTGCTCTGAGAACACTTCATTAATTGTGTCCGATAATGGGTAGCACGCACATCGTCCTCGCCCAGGATGATTCAAACATGTCTGCTGCTCAATCTTGCGTGTGAATCGGTAGTACGCTTCCGCAAAAGACGTTTTTATTGACGACTTGCGTTGACACCTTCACTTAGCTATCTCATGCTAATCTTTGAATAATTTCTTTCATGCGTTCTATCTGCAATTCTAAAGTATCATTCCCGAATCGATAAAATGGATGACTTGTTCACCGAGAAGTACAAATACCTCATTATAAGTGCATGGAGTGTTCAAATTATGGTCTTGTACCTTTCCTGGGCGATTAGTTTTGGCGTATCGTTTAAAATACAATATATTACTTCGAAAATAACAGACAGGTTCCTCGGTAAAATGGGAATCGCACTCTACATCTTGCATGCTGGCTACCGATGTTACTCAGTGCGTTGTGATATCACGTCCTCTAATCGTCTTGAACAGCTCTTATCAAGGATAGTCTGAAAAGTACCAATGAACATTAGCCTACAGTTAGCACCTCTCTCAGACAGTCACGTGTTTTCGTCGATGTGCATCTATTGCTCACAATGTCCCCACTCACATAAACTGTGAAAATTTTATGAGATTACCTTGTGACTACCCGGTTTGGCTTAACTTTGGAAAACCAAAACGTAACTCGTTGTTTTCAAGGCTCCAGCCACGAGCAAATTGATCTTGTCGGAACTCACGCTGGCTTTAATGGTAAAACTTGAGTAATCGTCAACAAACCAAATTCAGCGACTACTTTCGTACGAACGATATCTAAATGATGGAAATCAGATAGAAACCAAGATGAGCACCCACTGTCAGTCACTTTCTAATCCACTTCACCGAAACATCGCCCTTTAAAGTGGAAAGGAAAGTGCATTTTTAAACGTCCTAATTGGCAAGAAATTTGATGTCTGCCAAAAACCAACATGACCGCAGAGTACTTCAAGTTTGGTTTCTGTCTCGTTCCGGAAAACATGCTCTGGGGCAGGCTTTGTCTCCAGTAACCCCGCTGAGGACGTTGAATTGCTAAAATTGTATAAACAAACGAGCAAATTTAAACAACTAACTACAAAAATACCAACAAAAACAATGGATGATAATAAAATCTAGGCAAAAAAAGGAATGTAAAGGTTTCAACGTAAGTGGATGAATATATGTAATAGTAATAAATACATAAGAAAAATAATAAATAATCTTTCGGTTGTGGCTCCCTTTCGGTGTCTAGCTACCATGCCAACGGAAGGAGGCACAAGAGCTGGGATACTGCCAGGTTGCCCAAGCCTAGACAGGGGAAGTCGAGAGACAGAGGTCGGGTTCGAACCACGGACCTTCCGGTCGGTAAATTCGCGCTCTAACCACTTGGGCCGTCTTGCCTACGAATAAATAAATATGCCTACATAAATATACAAATAAATGCAAACATATATAAATATAAATAGATTACAGGGTATATATTACTATAAATTAAGAATAATAGTTGCCGCGGTCAAACTATCCCAAAGTTTCCATGTAAAACATCTCAGAACGAGTGACAAGGCTGCGCAAAGCACAACATCGAAGAAATCTGTTCATCTAAAGATCCTCTACATTGATGATTGTGTTTTATTCATCTTGAACCACCAATCAACTGACCGAACCCACACTAAGGCAGAGTTTACTACCTTCAGGGCGCACACGACAGATACGATTACATCTCAGTTTTGTCCTTGAAGTTGCGCTGATACAAAAATTGTTGGAAATAACTGAACGATGTGAACGCGAGCAAGGATGCATCTGCGTTAACTCACCCTTACCCTGTAAGCTGATCAGGGTTCAATTCAGGAGTAGTTCTAATTCAACTCTTCAGTTGACGGACATCTGCTCGAACTTGGATGCAGACTGGCGCTTTTTATACTCTTGTTTCCTGGCCGAAGTACGAAACAGCCGTCCACATAGACTGAAGGTCATCGGGACAACATTGAATGACCTGTTTAGGCCATGCACTCAGACAAACCAAAGTTCGTCCGAGACTGTCTTACTTTTTTTTCAGCTGATCGCGCTGGAGATTCACCTCGAAACCCTTCCTTGTCCATAGTGGTGTTTTGTGTTCCTCGGGAAACTGACTTTTATTTATGGAAGCCTGTCACGAACGAAGCGAATGTGATAAGTAATTTGACTTTGAACTTTACAATAATACAATATAATGTAATAACGTTAGATATAGTAGACTACTCACAAGGTTGCTGAAAATTCTTTGGCAACCCACGACCGGTTTGGGTCTTCTTGGAACTCATCAAATAGGCGCAGTCTCCGAGGTTCCGTCAGTTCTACTTGAAAAAGTCATAAACGAGAGGTTCATTTGGGTTCTAAAATTGTTTGCAAATGAGGGTACTCCGCTAATAATGTTAGGTTCGCGTATCGGCTAGTATGCTTTCCGACAAGTATCCGCACCCGGTGGGCTTGATTGTATCTATTTGATCGTACAAGATGAAGAATGCTACCTTGCTTGCTTCCAGACTCCTTTCTGGGGGAAGGTAAGTAAGTAAGTCGTTCAGGTGTAACACCCTTTCGGTGCCTTACTGCCATGCTACACGAAGGAAGCACGAGGGTTGGGATACTGCGAGGTTCCCCAAGCCTAGACAGGGGAATGTGAGAGGCAGAGCGGGCACCACGGACCTTCCGGTCAGTAAGTTCGCGCTCTAATTACTTCAACCACCTCGCTCTAGAAAAAATCGTTCAGGTGTAACACCCTTTCGGAGTAGACACTGCTCCTCGTAGACACCGAGAAGGGTTTTCTCTTGGGGTGACTAGAAAGGACTAAATAATTCTTAAGAAGAGACATGTTGACGGGGGAGGGTTGGATACTACATGGTTTGCCTCTCATCCTCACACAAGCATGTTGGGTAAACTCAAGTAACCTACTGAGAATCAATTTGATCATTTAAGAGGCACTGTTCAAGGTAATCTCACGTGTTTCCCGAGCACACTAGATGAACTTACCTGAACCGAATATATGTCACCATGTATACACTAGCAAATCAACAGTGTATGATGCGTGATAACGGAGAACAATGTTGGATTCAAACATGCAAAAACAGAGGCCAAAAATTTGCAGTACATCAAACTGCGCACCACCGAGGTCTCCTCGTTAATTGTCCAACTCGGGGATCAGATCAACAGCCATCTGATCAACATCCATTATCCCGCTACTTGGTGCTTCATTTTGAGTTGGGTTCCCATTGAAAATTTGTTGGAATTTCAAAACAACTAAGAATATTTTCATTCTCTAATAATTTACGGATAATTGTCCGAAGCACATTACTGAATCTTTGTGACTCGAACATGGTTTTCCTGCAATCTTCAACAGATTATGTCACGTAAGCTAGCTGGCACGTAGGACCAATTCATTGGCTAGCAGGGAGAACTCCGATATGTGGATCGGAGCTTAGGGTGAATTTTAACTCTCTTCACCACAGAATCATCAGACGTACTGAATGAAAAACCGAGGAAAATACCCAGATACATCGTTCTGTGGTCGGACATGATCTAGCCACTGGGGAACATGACACCCTTGCAAGATGGGCCGGTGTGTGTGTGTGTGGTCACGTACGACTGCTGTGTGTTGTTCAGGCAAGCCAAAACCAGCTGACGAGTGGAGTCACTTGGAAAGTTTAAAGTCCCACCTCAAAATTTTCCAATCCATTGAACTGAACTTGTTGGCAGTTGCATAAATCGTGGCTGCACTGTGACAGACAAAGTCAAACCAGACAGCACCGCCAAGGTTTATCGTCGGACACCAGTATCACCGATGTTAAAGGATCGCTTCTAAAGAATGGCGCAGTGACAACAGTCTCAATTTATGGCTGTAAAAGTTGCCCAATCACGTGACGAACTCAAACGGATTTAAACACCTGATTACCAGGCGTTAAATTGTGTTGTTAAGTCATAAAACTGGAAGTAAGCGAGGAAGTCAGTAGTAGATGTAGACACTCCCAAAGAAAATCCCTGGTGGCAGAAGGTTCGTTTGGGGTAGTTCATGAGTTAACAGCGTAAAATGAAAGCGGCTACTTTCGAGTTGGAGGCCATTCAACATCTGAGCCATCCTGGATGTTATCCACGCGCGGGACTGGAAGTCCTACAGGACATCTCTTACGAGATGGCTAAGATAGCTAAGCGCCCGATTCCACTGATAAAGTGTTGGTGCTGCTGTTTAAGAACTGTAAGTGACAGGTAGAGAGTGGATTTCAACTGTCCTGATAGAATAGTGTTGTGATTTGATGAACAGTCGTGCAACTCTGTGTCGGTCCTTGGCTTCCTGCTCCGCCCACTATGGTATATCAAAAGGCACGGTAGCTCTATACAGTCCCTTATGGAGAAAAAGGAAGATTATTACAACTGTATGTATAGGGTAGTCACAGAGTGTTCCACAAGGTCGTGCTAGAGGGAGCGAAAGGCGTCGAGTCGTGGATCCAGTGTTCCACAAGGTCGTGCTAGAATGCCCGTGAGAGAGCGAAAGGCGTCGAGTCGTAGATGCTTGATTAGGATTGGCTGGCAATCTGACCAATCAGGGCATGCCTTCGTTTGGTCCGTATGCCTCACGTGACACGTCCGTCCAATTGACGTGCTGTTCGACTATTAGAGGCGGCTAGCCTCCAGGGCAAACACATTCGCTGAACTGAAATCCAGGGATACACACAACTGTCTGGACTCTTTCCTCTTATCTGAGAACTGATCTAGTTACATTCAGCAAATTGTTTAGTAAACGCGCCTAGGGTAGATGCTCATTGACCAAACCTGGATTTTTCCCAGTATTTTCGGTCGATTGATTTTTGGGGTGTGGCCGTCCCACTCTGACTGATGGACAGGATTCCGCGTGTGTGTGTGTGTATCTAGCTTACCGAAAACGGCGCCTTCGTTAGAACCTTGTAGCCTGATCGCACTGCTCGTTGCGTTTTATTCACGCAAAATTTTTTTCGCGGATGAATAGTTAAGAAAAAAACATGCCAGGATTGGCAATCCTGTTCTGCATTGGCCAGAGCTTCCGTGAAGTCCTTTTGGACTAGAAATGTGACTGATGTTTCCAGTTTCCCGGACTAAAATCACCCTGCAAGAGGTCATCTTTCCCGTCTATTTAAGTTCGTTAAATGCGTCCTAATAGGAAGCAACATTCCTTACTAGTTTCGGCCACCTGTCTAGTGAAAAAGGGGATCTCTGAAATGATCGATTGTGGCATCACTCTTCAAACCAACCACGAAAGGGATAGGATGGCCTGCCTGTCTTGGAGTTGATCCCTCATCTGGAGTGGCCCGAATAACCTAATCTTAAGGCGCAGTCGCAAGCGGAAAAATTTCGATGGCGGTTTTTGAAAAATTTAATTCAAACAGCTGTCTTCATTTACCGTTACATTTTTCGCAGCGCACACGCTGTCAGCTGAATAGATATTTAGCTCAGATACGTTAGAACGGTTCCCCTCAATTTCGATTTGCCTGTTGCATTTAGTTCACAATGAAACTGAGAAGCACCTGGCGTTGGTGCTGTCTTTATATTCGAAATTTTCGGTAGATCGTTGGCTCTCAGGTGTGTATTGTCACCTTATTTGGGCGTAAAGACATTCCCTATTGCGGAGTCCAGTAACGCATTGTGTCCTGGGGTGGTGTCTTTATTTGCTTAAAGCAAGAGATGCAAATTTAATTACATGTATGTACACATTAGATGCATCAGGAGTAAATATACTACTTGCACGAACTCGGGCTTCAGTAGTATGAAAATCAACATATGTTTCGTAATTAATGCACTATCACGGAAGGAGTATTGACTTATCGGATCGGGGACCGGGGAAGAGAAAGGGTGTTTTGATGGGAGTATTGACTGCAGTGATGGAAATCTCAGCTTTGTTCGAGCAATCACTTCCATTCCGGCCGTTGATTGGGGGCTGTTGTCGGACTAATTGAGTCGGGTTGAGGACGATCCAGGAGTCACTGTCTGGTGCTTTTATTTACAATGTGAACCTTGAAACTTTTGGTTTCCTTTATTGGTCGCGGATCAGTGGATTAACCTTCCTTATAGGAAAGAAATCCGTCAGCTCATAGATAAGGAACACAGAAGCGTTCTTTCAAAGATATCTTTATTTGTCGATATTGACTTGTTCGAATAAAACTTCCTGTTTCGTTCCGAATAAGAAAACTTATCATTCAACCCTGAAATGTACGTGAACAGTAGTGACAAGATGGCTCAAGTGGTTAGAGCGCGAATTTACTGACCGGGAGGTCCGCAGTTCGAACGCGACCTCTGCCTCTCGACTTCCCCTGTCTAGGTTTGGGCAATTTGGCAGTATCCCGGCTCTCGTGCTTCCTTCGACTAGCGTTGTAGGTAGGCACCGGAAGGGTGTTACAGCTGAGCGCTTTTTACCACTAGTGGAGAGCACTGTTAAAATATTGAGTCGTATCTGATTAGCTATCTCTTAACTAAGCCTGTTAATTGGTAGGAAAACACCAAGGCTTTCTATGTGTGGTGCAGCGGATCATTGATTGATTTTCGTCTGCACTGCATGTATGTTTCATGTATATGTACGCACTTTTCTGCAAAGTTTACGAAAAAACTCGTCTGTGATGAACCTGACCGAGGTTTGTACTTGGTAGACGACAATCATGGTGAGAGGCAGGAAGCCAGACATGGAATGGAGCCATATTCCTGCGGGGAGCGAACACTCAACTGTTCATCAATATCATCGCCGTTACCGACGCCAACACGAGTGAGTGTTGCCTCGCAGCTGCAGGAAGCCAGACATGGAATGGAGCCATAATCCTGTGATGAGTGAACACTAAACTGTTCATCAATATCATCGTCGTTACTGACGCCAACACGGGTGAGTGTTGCCTCACAGCCTTGTGTTCACTGAACTCAAGTTAAGCGAAAACTGTACTCAATCTAAAAACAATCCGTCCTGTTGATTGACACTCTGTTTTGAACAACGAGTCGAGATGCATTCGTCACCGAAAGTCTCACAGAATACACAGAAACTGGTTAATTTAGAATCTAGAACTAAAGCTATCAGGCTACCGGTGTTCTACACCAAAGGATTTCTAGCGAATCTGCGAAATTTCTCAAGGTCGCATCATTACCGACAAAGTTGTCCTTGGGGGTAAATGGTACTGAAACACCGCGCAGAAATTTTGGTAGGCAAAATTTAAACTTCATACAAAATGAATTTATGCGTGTAAATCAATTAGCAACCCATTGGTTTTTTCTACTTTGTACAAGGGAATTCTCGCTATATTGTTTTCGTTTTTTAACTGCGTTCTCTCCTGCTCTTTGATTTGAACGTTAATCAATATGTGGCCTTGACCAACCTTGACCTTGCGAGTCTAGTTTAACACGGCTGAGTGGGGTTCTCGTCAGGTTGTGATCCTTTTGTCTCTGCAGGGTGTGTACTTTAAGTAGCTGTTGTGGATATCAGTGTGCCCAAAAAATGTTTGCTTTCCGATTCAGTTTGTATTCTGAGGATTCGAACTTTTAAAGTTCGCACCCTTTCTATCATGCTGTGCCTTAATTATATTGACCAGCTGCACTTTGTGTGAGCTAACGAACTTTTTGTGCCCCAAGGTCGCTCAGATTATATATAT